GGCGATCCCACAAGTGCCGACACCAACTCTTCCATCAACAGTCTCCGGCGAAGCAAATATGCTTCTCTTCGCTTTATTGTGCTTGTTCATCTTCTTACTAAAATTGAGCCATTGATTTTTCTCCTTTTCACATGCTTTTTCAATCTCAGCATGACGCTCGGCCAGTTTCTGCTTTTTCAGTTTCTTTTTTTCAATCAGTCGGTGTCTAACTTCCTTTCTAATATAGAGAATGTATATGGAGGGCTTCGGACTTACTTCGTCCTCTGTATAGGAGCGGACACATTTGTCACTGGCTTCATCTGGGCAATCTACAATAAAAATTCACGGCATGAAATGTGCAAACAACGATCATTTTCACGACTAAAACCAGTCAAAATAAAACAAGCTTGTGCAGATTCACAATCGACGAAAAACAAAAAGGATTAAATACCATTTTCGATGTGAACGAAATCGAGGGGTCTAAAAGAAATCCGAATCCACTATTGAATTGGGTCGTAAGGTCCTCTGGTTACGGTGAGGCCATTTTTGCTAACAATCACCAAAATTCTCGGCGAAACGACATCCCACTGAAAAGGTTTAGGGGTACAATGCCAGACGCTACAAGAGCCTTAAAACATTTAAATAAAAGAGTTACACACCCGGAAGAGCGCGAGATGGTTTAACTCAAAACATCGAAATTCACTAAAGGTTCATCGTTAAATTCCTCAAAATAGTGACAGAAGTTTCCACGAAGCTAACGTGTTAATGTACGACATTGTCGTCTATGGTGCAGACGACACTAACGAACTTGAAGAATGAAGAAAATAAGGACCACACTCATCAAATTACCTGGCAGATATCGGTTGAATCATAGTCAACGAAGTTAACGACGCACGTACTATTCCCCAAGATTTCTAGCACCTTCGCCTTGTAAAACCTAGGGCAGATGTCACCACCAAAATGAATAAACATACAATCTGTCCCTTGAACACTGAGCCATGCACATGTCCCCAACCTTCCAGGAGCATTCATCATTAGAAGTGGGTTTGTCAATGAGTTGCAGTGTGAGGTTAATCACTTCCTGCAAGTCCTCCTTTAATTTTTGCAGCTCTTCGTTGGTTTTGTCAAGCTCCAAAGCCGCTTCGACTTGCTGAAGCTGAAGCTTATGATTCAGCAGCTGAAGCTGTAACGCCTCCGTCATCAAAGAAAACACGACAACCCGAACTCGACTCTCACCAGGGGGAAGATAATGACGTTGACAATAGCAAGCAGTAAAACAATACACTTTAAAATTAAAACCGATAAAGCTGCCAAAATTGTCGAAAATAGATGTATGTTATACCAAATTTATATTCTGATATTATTTTAATCCGATTTTAATTTTAGAGAAACAGTTAAAAAGTTTAGATCAAGTTTTGGAAGTCATCTATGCAAAACAGCAGCGGAATATTTATTCATGACACTTCGACATGCATTCTGTATTATGCATTGAGAGTTCCGAGTTCAATATTTCTGTCAACCATAACTACTTTCTAATCTGTAATTACCTTGTTTTTTAAATATTCTTAATTCTAATAAAGAATTTTATCAGGCAAAATGGTTTTTTGCGTTTTTCAAACTTGTTTCGAGGCACGTGTTAGTGATGATTTTAACTCGCGCTTGCCAGTTCATACTACATAGACTTGGGTAGATATTTGAGAAAGCGGTGTCTGGTTCATCGTTGTTCTCTGCCTGTGTTTCACTTCAAGACTTTGGATCAGACGATAGAGATTTGGAGTTTTCATAATAGACGGAGTATGTAATTACTTCAAAGGTACTTTATCTCTTCGTTCCAGCCAAGGAATTATGTCCGAATTGCCCGAAGGTTGGATAGCCCGTGTGTCATCATCGACAGGTCCGATTTTGGGACTTCCTCTATGGCACTAATCTCCTATTTAGGTCGCACCTACTACGTCAACACTTCAACGAAAAAATCTCAGTGGGATAGACCGACCGCTAGTAGCGAAAAAATACGCTGCAGTCACCTCTTGGTTAAGCACGCCGATTCAAGACGTCCATCATCATGGAGAGAGAAGAACATCACACGTAGCAAAGAAGATGCCGTTTGTATCATTAACGGTTGCAGTTTTTTCCATTTAATTTACTAACTCATCCATTCCATTTCAAACTATTGAACGTCTTGTTCGAACAGGCTACAAGGACGATATAGAATCAGGGAAGAAAACGTTTGAAGAGTTGGCTTCCCAGTTTAGTGATTGCAGCTCGGCTCGTAATGGTGGTGATCTTGGTTTCTTCGGTCGCTACCAAATGCAGAAGCCTTTCGAGGACGCCGCTTTCGCCCTTCAAGTTGGAGAGCTGTGTGGGCCAGTGGAGACTGATTCCGGTGTGCATATTATTAAACGAACTGCATGAGTCCCACTAAATGCTTAAACTATTTTTAAATATGTTATGAACAACGACACTTGTCAACTCAATTGTCGCTATTGTTGCTTACTTGACTTGTGCAGTATTGGACAGCTGCCAATGCACCCACTTTTCGGTGACTTGATTCAGAACGAGAATGTCAGGTGCACCGCCCTTGTTCTTCCCCTCTAGTCATGTTCTTTCAGTGGGCAAAATCAATGCAGTGTCCCTGTTAATTGGCCTACATTTAGCAAACAAGACTACGATACCCAACTACCCCGTCATGAATCCCCATCATGGATCATTGCTATTGTTAAAAGCTGCGCAACTCTACATATCGGAGTTTTCCGACTTCGCATCGAGCTTGTTTTACAAAAATAAAAGTCAATTTATCATACATGGTGCTAAAACAAGAAGGGAAAGAAGTCTCCCTCCATTCAAAAACAACGCAGAAGGATGTCCACCAGGAAACCCACCGGCCAACCGACCTCAATGTTGCCGATTGTTCGGTTTAACTACAAAACAGTGAGTAAGTTCAGAACTTTGGTAGACGGAATTAAATAAATCACTTGTTGAGCAAGCAAAACTCACATTGAGGTATTTATCCATTGGGAGGTCGAATCCATGGGAGAGGAGGGCAGATATGTAAGTTAATTCCATGCACAAGAATGGCCGCCCTGACAGTGGGGTGGAACAGGCTGAGGTCGAAAGGAAAATCGTACTTAAAACGCACGTGTGTAAAGCAGAGTGTAGTAAAGTAGGACGAACCCCTCCTAGCAGCGTCGAAATACCACCGGACTGGGACTCGACCGTCAGCTGGCCTGTTTATAAGAAATTCACCCGCTTCTTCTGTCTTCGAACACATGTAGGAAGTCGCCTGTATCTCCATTTGTTTTAGGTTTCCCAGATCCTTTGTCCAATTGGCTGGAAGAAAGAACATTTAAATTCACCACTTGTCACAACTGATGAAAGCACAGATACCATGCAAATTGCCTATAAAGCAGCACATTATAGGCTGCTTGTAAGCATTCGAAAAAGTTTAACATTCGCTCATTAACATTAAAGACAAAATTAACCAAGTTGGAGTCAAGCCTACCACCTAATTCACACTCAGTTATCACCTTCACGGCGATCTCGAAGCACGCATTGAAGACGTTCCCGGAAAGGGATTGAAGACCTTCAGAACCATGAAAAACTGTCCAATTCTTGCCACCGTGATTCCAGCTTGTCTTGACGCAACAAAAAGATCAGAGAAATCATCAGCTTAAACGGCACCAAGTGCATCAGTCGACCATAAATATTTGTCTAGGAGTTTAGTACGTTAAACGCACTGTGAAATTAGTTGGAAAGCAAGGCGAAAAGAGATGATTGAAGTCGCCCATTGTGGACCGATTTGAGGACCGCAGAAACATTTTGTGCATTGCCGTCATTAATCCAAGGCCCAGATAGCTGCGAGCGAAAAACTGCAAATAAAGAGAAGTTGACTAAAAAGGTTGGGGATGCTGGTTCATTCGAGCATAGCCACATTGAAATGGCACCATTTTTGCACTAAACGTAAATGAGGAAGACAAACTCTTGGCCCTTTTCGATCGCCACATTATCACCTAATAAAGCCTTCAAGGAGGACTCATGTAATGCACTGGGAAGAGATCCGTCCCTTCCTAGATTGATTACTACGCCAAAGCTTCACGAATGAACCGTATCTAAAACTCTAGGACTCAAGGGAGGTGACAAATACGTGTCAATCTTTAGCATCCACCCCAAAATCCAGTTCTGCAAAATAGGACGAGGCCAGGTAGAGATTCAAACTCGTACTTCGATGGTTGAACAGGAGAAAAGTCGTTTGATACATTAACACTTTTTATTAATATTCACTCAACAAACT